AGACAACAAAGACAGAGGAAAACAACGTCTAACCTTCTTAGGGAACTTTAATAAATGAATGGCGGAACAAGGTTTAGAAGAAATAACAAAAAGACAAAATTTAAGAGCTACAAAGGACAGTGAATTGTGGAATCGCCAACGCCCTGAAAGGACATTAACACATAGAAGAAACCGCCGCCCCGTGATGGGCGAATTTTAAGCAATGGCGGACCAGCAAACGATGTGAATTTGCTTCTCACCCTGTGCCCTGAAATCTAAGTTATAGAGTAAGAAGCAATCAAAACTGGCGCGATTGTTAACAAGATCGTCCTGCAAATCCATTTGCACGTTATTGTTACCTTGCGTCAGACGAAACTATGCCTATTTACAAAACCAGTGGGGGGTGGAGGAACATCGATGTAAAAAGATTATCATTTTCACATACCTACAGAAGTTTCGTCGCCTTGAACAGAAGTACATTATTTACATTATTTACATTATTCGGACTATTGTCCTCATCTTTGTCACCTATTGGAGGCTTCTTTTAAGATTGGATAAACATTTTTTGGTGCTCAAAAAATATACTATCTGCAATTGCTTTCACCTTTTGTCTGACTTGTTTGAGATACCTAACAACTGCATGAAGTGTGTCTAAGGCTTTCATTTGTCAAAACCTACTATTTTAGCTGTGAAAACTGCAAATAATTAAAACAAAGATATTAACAAGCGTGAAAATACAAAATAATACAAAATATCATTTACAAACATTCAAAAAATATCACAATAATACATCTCAAAGCCACATGTGGCACACAGCAATAGCAATAAAATTATATATAAGACGTGTGTATAGCACAACTGACTAACATCCAACTTCTAACAATTAAGGCATAAAAAACTTTCTGCAGAAATCCGCATTTTCACCCACTTGTGGGAAAACGCCATGAAACACACGTACGTACAAACATTCACCAAAATACAAACTAAATTTTTTTTTTTGAAAAAAAAGAAAAAAAAAGGCGACAAAGATGAGGACAATAGTCCAAATCATGTAAATAATGTACATAATACCTCATCTCAGAAATATAGACAGATACTGAAGGCCCGATACGTTGTAATAAATATGGCGACAAAGATGAGGACAATAGTCGGAATAATGTAAATAATGTACATAATACCTCATCTCAGAAATATAGACAGATACTAAAGGGCCGAAACGTTGTAATAAATATGGCGACAAAGATGAGGACAATAGTCCGAATAATGTAAATAATGTACATAATACCTCATCTCAGAAATATAGATAGATACTGAAGAGCCGAAACGTTGTAATAAATATGGCGACAAAGATGAGGACAATAGTCGGAATAATGTAAATAATGTACATAATACCTCATCTCAGAAATATAGACAGATACTGAAGGGCCGAAACGTTGAAATAAATATGACGACAAAGATGAGGACAATATTCCGAATAATGTAAATAATGTACATAATACCTCATCTCAGAATATAGACAGATACTGAAGGGCCGAAACGTTGTAATAAATATGGCGACAAAGATGAGGACAATAGTCGGAATAATGTAAATAATGTACATAATACCTCATCTCAGAAATATAGACAGATACTAAAGGGCCGAAACATTGTAATAAATATGGCGACAAAGATGAGGACAATAGTCCGAATAATGTAAATAATGTACATAATACCTCATCTCAAAAATATAGACAGATATTGAACAGAAGTATTTAAAATTCTAGCTATTACCTAAACCTGAACACCGACCTCTGGTATGAATAGAAAACACGCATCTAACTCGGCCACAAGCTTTAGGCCCGCCTTTTCCTTCAAACCTGATTGCAAATTTGGCCCATCGCCACACGCCTCTCTTTTCTCTCCATACCGAAATGTTTGGCGCATAATGAAATCGCCACTTTCTTTTACACAAGCGGCACTCAGTCGAGACGAATGGCTTCGTCCACCATTTTTTCTTGTTTCAGCTCCAAAAAGTCTTATTTATTTTCATGGTTGTTCTAAAATCATTGCTTCTCCTCCCTCTTCTCCTCATGTTCACTTCCCTCTAATTTTTTCACTTCTTTGCGTCTTATTTCGCCTTAATCCATTCTAACTTACCTCTTTTTTTCTCTTATTGCTACTCCTACTGATACTATTACTTTTTCTCTCCCTTTCCTCCGCCCTTTTCTCATATCTTTACTCCTACTTCACCTTCACTTTTATTGATCCTTCTTCTTTTCTCGTATCTATCTTGATTTTTTATCTGCTGCCGTTCGCATTATTTCCACAATTTTTCTACTCTTTTTTGTCTCACGTTTTTACTTTTTTTTTTCTTCATTGCGTCTTTTTCTTTCTTCTTTTTTTCATGGGTTCTTCTTATTGCTTCGCCCTCACCGCCTCCTCTCCTCCTCCTACGTCTCGTTTCCATTTCTCTCTCTTTCTCCTTATTCCCTTCTCAATTACTTGTTTTTTCTTGTTACTACGACTACTACTGATACTATTACATTTCCTCTTCCTTCTCCTCCTCCTCATTTCTCTACAACTCTTTTTCTCCGTCTCTCTTTCTCTCTCTACTGATTTTTATTGTCTGCCGTTCTCATTATTACCCGCTATATTCTTGTTTTTTTACTCTTTTTCTCTTTTTTGTTGTCTTTTGTCTCTTTTTTTTCTTTAATATTTTACTTTTTCTTTCTGTCTGTTTTTCTTTTTTTTTCTCTTTTATTCTTCCCCGTATCCTCCACTAAACTTTTTTTTCTATCCTCATTATATTACCCTGAGATGATCAAGCTGGCTGAATTTTTATGAGTATTATTTTATATGAATATTACTGCATCTTGCATACGTAATCTCCCTTTTCCGCGGGTTTAGGTCCAGCTTAGGAAAAATACAAGAGTAACTAACATCATTGCGAAATATTCCAATTATTTCTCAATTGTGTAAGCATCTTTACAAGTCCATTTTTAATTGAAGCCTCTTGGATAGCCCTAAAGAATTAGTAGGACAATGTCGTCAGTTATTATTTTCCAGAATATAATCACCTTACGGGTCTGAAAACTCCAAATCAAAGAAATATTGAAGAATCTTTACTTATTTGGTATTTACCATTTATTTACTAAGCTTTTGTTTAGTTTGACGCACACGTCTCAGATTAATCTATCTATAAAATGCTGTGACTTCCGTTAGTCCGTCTGTCTGTCACACCCTCTAAAGTAGCCAGACATTGACCGATCGAAATTAAATTTTGGGAAGATATGCAAACAGGTAAGGAGATACAAAGTAAAGTGTGTTTCATTAAGATGGATTATATATAAGGCTGTTTCATTAAGACGGATCAAAGTTATCAGTAAATAAATAAGTGTTATTGGTGAAAATTTATTTATTTCTCTATTAGATCATGTAATTTAAGGCATGGCAATTATGTGTGATAAATAATATCGCCCAAATGTCCGCCTAATCTGAAAAAAAAGGATAAAATCATTAGACGCTTAAACTTAATTCACATTTAAAATCGGTCCAAGTTATCGAAATACCCTTTACAACTGGTTTTACTAGGATGTGTGGCTTAGTACCATAAATTTTTATTATTTTTTTTGGTGGGGAGAGGGGAAAATTAAAGGTTTTTTTATTTGACATACAAAATAATTTCACTATTTTAAAAATAAGTTGATGATTTAATGAATTTAAAAACAAATACTTATTTAATAAATATGAAATATTGTTTTTTGCATATCTTTTATTTAAGTTTTTAAATATACAAGAATTTAGTTTCCAGTTCGCCCTGCATTTGCGAGAACTATAAATCACAAGGCCAGGCGCTTCAAAATGTTGGAATTTGGCTCCAGAAAGAAATATTTAAGCATGGCCAGTTGTATGTTGCACGCTCAAGAGTAAGAAACTGTAAGAATTTATTCTTCACTGTTAAAAAGACAAAAAATAAACCTTCTTAAAAAATATTGTTTACCCTGAATTCCTATAAAATTAAATTAAAGAAATTATTAAAGTAGGGTTTTTATCAAAGTATTTTTCCAAACAAACCAGCTTATTCAAGCTTGCTTGGCGGTTGTAGTTTATCGTCATATCAGGAATGCCACGGTTGAAAGTCGTAAAAATACGTCGGGTTTAAGAATAAAAATCCGTTAATTCTTTTGAAATTACATTGAGTCCACTTGTTAAAACAAATAAGCTTGCGATAGATTTGTTAAATTAAAAGAATTAATAATTCAACATAAGATCAAGTAAGTACAAAGCATGTGTTAAAATCTTAGAGCATTGTATCTATAACTTCACACACCTGACTTGTTTATGCAGAATGACCTTTTTTAATGTGATAGCAAATCAAAATTTAAAAAAAAAATGTTTACTATGATTTTCAATTCGAATAAACAGCACGTTCATAACAGCCTCATACCAATCCCAAATTACCTCCGAGCAAGATAAGTAAATATGTCTAATATATATATATATATATATATATATATATATATATATATATATATATATATATATATATATATGTAGAGTTATGCTGTTTCATGGGGAGAAGATCGTGAGAGAAGGAGACGATCTAATCGATAGGCATAAACTTATTTTCAATACTTATATTGTTATTATTTTGTCATTTTCCATACATGTATATCTATGCATTATATCACACACACACACACACACACACACACATATATATATATATATATATATATATATATATATATATGGGTGGGGTAGACGTTCTCTACGTCTGAAGGTCGCGAGAGAGTGAAACTCTTGTAACGAATCGGGATGTCTTTTGATAGGAGGTAACGTTGTGAAGTGTTTTTGCTCTGTCTGGGTAATTTTGGCGTTAGGCACTTTTTGAGATTTTCTCTTGATTAAGGGGTTAGGTTTATTGGCAAGTTGTCGGTTGCTTTCGACAACATAGAAATATAAAAAATAAATAGACACAATATCTATATTATTCAACAAAACACACACACACTCACTCTCTCTCTCTCTCTCTCTCTCTCTCATACACACAGATAGATAGATAGATAGATAGATAGATAGATAGATAGATAGATAGATATTACAATTGTTTTTTTTAATATATTATCATCGCAACACCGAAATTCCCATGTTTCAAAATTGAAACTTCAATTCAAATTCAATCCTAAAATTTAAACTTAAAATACAAAGTTCCGCTCCATTATCAAGCGATGCTAGGAACTCGGAATTATAAATTTCATTGTTCTTTCACCTAATTTTAATATATATATATCATTATTATTATTATTAAAGACAACAAATTGACCGTTAGAAACTTATATGAAACTGAAAAGGAATCAAATATTCATTAGAATCCGACAAAATGATAGACTAAGGAATAAATCGCGAATGTTTATAAATTTAACATGTTTCCCTTTATTTAAGCTTCTTTTTTGGAGAAGGGCGGAATTAATTATGAAAGAGAAAATTCCGTTGCTTTTAGTTCATTGTTATTTGGTTTTATTGTGTGTGTGTGTGTGTGTGTGTGTGTGTGTGTGTGTGTGTGTGTGTGTGTGTGTGTGTGCGCGCGCGTGCACGTTTGGATTCTAGTGAGCATTTTTGTGTCGGTCTGGTAGTATCTGTATGTATAATTACTGAAGATATTATATTAAACTACTTGCAGCATGGTCAGGCGTTGCCTGTGCTCGATTCAAAAATCGTACGAATCATACAGCAATCGCTATCACTTGACTTAAAATATTTTTGCCCTTCCTTGCCTTTAAAGGAGTGCCCTTTGCCGTGCTGTTGTTGCTACATGCCTTACTTCTTGCCTATCTCACACTGCGAATTTTTTCTAAGCTCTATACTAAACATTAAATCTGTTACGAAAAAAGAACTAAACAAAATGAACACAAAACGATCAGCTTTAAAAAAAAAAAGGCCTCGTAACTGGAAAAACCGAATAAAAAAAGAATGTTAACAACAAATACTTTTTCACACCCAACCCAGTTCTGCGGAATCAGAATCAACGTTGAGTTTAAGCAAGCGAATGAGCCAATTGGAGTAAAGTGCCATGCAGATTTAAATTTTTCCCACTTGTGATGAATGCAACTATCGATTTTTTTTTTTTTTGCATGCTAGCATGCTAGTTAACATTCGTGTCAGTCAGCTGTTGGCTCTCACGCTGGCCAATAGAATCTTCCTGCCTATTCGTGGCATCCAGCTATTGGCTCTTACTCTGGCCAGTAGAAAATGGCCGCAAACTACATGAAAACCGCCGTAGAAGCATGAAAAAAATCGATTATTTCCACTATCGATAGGAGTTGGGAAATGCAACGTCGGTCTTAGCCTTTCCGCTAACTTGGAGCATGTGCACGTAAATTTTGGTGCAAATCCGTCGAAAATTGCGGCCTTGCATACATTACACACACATCCTGCCTTTTATAGATAGGGATTATTAAATAAAACGCCACCTGTGGCCGCTCGGTGAGTTAGTCTCGTAATCGTGTTAACTTTAAATGAACATTCATAATTGTCCAGACTAAAAGATAATAATTGCCGGAACAACGATGTTGCAGATGTGTTTTTATACATTTTCATAGCGAAACTTTCCTACACGTATGTGTGTGTTTCCCTACATATATGTGTTAATTTTCATATGTGTTTCTACATATCTGTGTAAATACGTGTTGTAAGCTTAAACTTTTATATGTCAATAAGAAGCAGATAAAGAGTCAAACATGAACGAAAATGTCATACAAACCTCCTCTTATTCAAATGATAGGTTTAAAAGATAGATTTCGCTGGTTGAGGCGAGAAGAAAACAGTGAAGTAAACAGTGGACAATAATTCTAAAAATTGACAGAAATTCACGAAAAAAGGAGGAAATATCAACTGGTAAACTATTAACAATATGACTGACCCACAAGTTATCTAAAAAGATTTTACAATAATATTCCTGTATTAACTATGTTAATAGACATTGCGAGTAAAGATAGTCTGTCTGCCTTGTAGTTCAGTATACAATACCTGGCCATTATCTGGACGCGAACTTTGACTGCTTTCAGCAGAAACAAATTCACGAGCATTATGCGGCAAAAGTCAGGCTATAAACAGATAAATTAAATATGATAGATGCAGTGATAAATAAACGTTGTAGACAGATGCCATATCTCAAAATAACACGTTGTAATCTCAACGTACATCAATAGGATGTGCACGCATGCGTACTCTGCGCTCGGCCTTCAACGTTGACAAGCTGCAATTGTAGTTGATGGCAAAGGGGTTAAGTGTAATTAGCCCATGGTTTGGACGCCATGTTTCTTGATAAGACACGTCTCGTATGTTGGCTAAGCTGTCAAGAGCGAGAACGTGAAAGAAAGTGTACGCATGCGCACGCTTGGCCATCTAATGTTGATTTGTTATTGCGTCTTTAAAGTGGTCTGGTCATGAAACCAAATTGAGTAACAGTAGATATTTATGCTAGGAGAGAAAAGTGAAGTTTACAAGCGATAAATTAAGAATCAATGAGAAGATATTTGCTTTGACTTCTAAATTCTTTTAACTTAATGGCTACGTCTAATTGGTTTGAACAGATTTAGATTTATCAGACCAGTTTCTTAAAAAAAGGGGAACTTAAAAATCCTTCTCCTGAAAATATTTTTCTGTTCCAACATCAAAATTTTCAATTTGCCAACTTATCATCATTGTAATTATTGTTTGTCTCAGAGGTTATATTAGTGTTTGCCATTCTTTTTTCTTTGGGCCGCGTTTTCAGAATTAAAATTTGCTTACACCTCACCAAATTTTATGTGATAAAAAGTACATTTAAAAATAGAAAAATAAACAGAGAGAAGATTAAAGGGAGATAATTGCGGATTCCAAGTCAGAACATTATCATTGATAACTCTCTCCTCTAATTTGCAGACTCAAATTATTATATTCTTAATATTCGTGATGAATTGTAAAAATATCACTCAGTCAATCGGCCAATAATTATATATATATATATATATATATATATATATATATATATATATATATATATATATATATACTGGGACTCATGCATGCAATTACAAGTAATCCATAATAATATTTTACATTTTGAACTCATATTTATTTTTGGCATATGAAATTTTTGAAACTGTTTCTAAATCTTTGTCTTTTAATCATTACGCCTCACCTGCTATCTTCATCTGCACTATCATCATGCTACGAAACGCGCCGAACCGTTTGAGTACCACTGGTCTATATCCTTATCAACGGACCGTTTCTTCTTCTTCTTCTTCTTCTTCTTCTTCTTCAATGTGCCGTGTCCTTTCAGGACTTGTCCGATCATGGCTCGCCTCAACTTCCTGTCCTTTGTAGCCATTAGTAAATCATGTATTTTTTGCTACAACACCTAATCCCTGTTCTACTCGAACCCGTAACATAGGTTATACACTACTTCCTGTTAGCCATCTTGCCTTCAAATGTCCTCTGAGTATCAAATTTCCCAAGCCATCTTTCCTCTTTATATGCCCTAGAAATTTCAACTGTTTCTTTCTTGGTGTTAAGTACAAGTGTCCTTTTTGTTTCCATTTTCTCTAAAATTTTGTTGTTGCTTACGTTTCCATGATGTTATCAGTCTACTTCTGTAGAACCACATTTCTGTTGCTTCAAGTCTCTTTTTCCTTCGCGAGTCGATTGTCGGGCGTTTACTGCCATATCGGAGGACCGATATTATATAACAGTTCAGTACTCTTTTCTTTCTTTCTAACGAAATTTTCTTATTTCTTAATATTTTACTTAAATTTTGGAAGGCATCTTTCGCTATGTCAATGCGCCTTCGAATTTCGGTGCCGCATCATCTGATAAAACAGACAACTTAGTAAAAAGGAAAAAAAAAACAGATATTGATCGAGCTGGGATTGCAGAAATACAGAAACAACTCCAAGAACCCAAGCGTGTATCGTGTATGGCACTTAACCGACTGAATACAGCTACACTATTAGAACTGGCACAAATGTCAGACTCGTTTCTCGGCCATCTCTCAACATCAAGCGCTTCGTGTTTTTAAATATTTTCAAATACCAGTTTCTACTAATATTAAAAAAAAATGTCGGATTAAAAATAAATCTATTAATTATTTAGAAATGCTCTGATTACGTCCTGGATACGAAACTGGGGAGATATCTCACTCAGTTATGTGCCACGCCTAGGCGAACATGTATCTTTCGATACATGACTGACGAGGAAGATTTTACAGCCACAAGTTGTCATTTCCTTCTGTGGTACACCCGTTGCCATCCAAGGCTATAGAAACCGGTGTGTTCTGCTATTTACCCATAGCTGTGGGGAGAAGAGGATTCATACCTTTCCCAAGGATATTAGCACCTAAGTGAATGTAATGGATTCGACTGGAATTCGAACTCGGCTCTCCGATTCCTCAATCCGTGTCTCCTAGCTAGTTATGTGCCATACGTGATACACGCTTAGGTGATCATGTATCTTTCTATACACGACTGACGAGGAAGATTTTTTCCCCACAGAAGGTTGCCATTTCTTTCTGCGGTAGACCAGTTGCCATCCAAGGCTATAGAACCCGGTCTGTCCTGTTATTTAGCCATTGCTGGGGGGGGGGAGAAGAAAAAGATTCATACCTTTCCCACGTAAATGAATTCGACTGGGGATACTGAAATTTTAAATTTAAGTTAACATTTTATTTTTAATTTATGTTCTGGGTGTATAGTTTAGCGGCTTTCATTTAATTTCTTTTTATCGCTTTTGTTATTAAATATCGCAGATTGTGCTGCAAGGATGCAACTTGGTTTCAGTTAACCATTTTCGATTCTCACCCATCGAAGTGCAGTTGAAATGCACTGAAACCAAGTTGCATCTTTGCAGTGAGTAAAATGGTTTTGTCTATATGATAAAATTATAATAAATGAATAATTAACGCTCTACTATAGGTATCGAGACTTCTTTTGGATTAACGCGGTGAACGTTGGAATTTATATATTACTTTCGTTCTCATCGCATCGGATATATATATATATATATATATATATATATATATATATATATATATATTGTCACTAATATTATATATATATATATATATATATATATATATATATATATATATATACATACAGAACCACATTTCTGTTGATTCAAGTCTCTTCTTCGTCTTTGAGGAGATTATCCGGTGCCAGAGACAAAACAGATATCACGTTTAAAATACGTGTATCCATGAAAATTACTTTTATAGTAATAATAATTTCACATTAAAAATTGATTTGAATATATATATATATATATATATATATATATATATATATATATATATATATATATATATATATGGGGTGATGCATGCGAGCAGGTAAATGGCATTATTATGCAACGAAACAGCTGAAACATTCTAATATATCCATTGGAAACTTTAATGTTTATTTTATTTCAGGCAGATTAATATTCTCGAAATTGAACTAACGGTGAAAGGACATAAGGAAAGTTGAAAGACTAAGATAAATTATAACAAAATTGTGTGGTTTCAGACAAGCATCTATCAATATACAGGTATACATACATATCTATATCTATGCGTCAACACACAAACACATACGCACATTCGCCTATCTATCTATCTATCTATCTATATATATATATATATATATATATATATATATATATATATATATATATATATATATATATATATATATGAGTGTGTGTGTGTATGTAGTCTCCATATTTACAAATTAATGCCACCAGGCACGAATGATTAAAACACACCTGTTCAATTCCCAAAATTCTTACAAGTCAATTTAGTGTAAGAAAAACACCAAGCAATCTTCTATGTCTGTGTAGGAATTCGTCAACACTCGGTTTTTTGGGGGTTTTTTTTGGCTTTTTTCTTTTTTTTTCTTTCTTTCATTGACTCTGCCTTGAAGGCTGAGATAAAAGCCGTCCGTTCCAGAAAAAACAAGTGTGTTAGAAAAAATAATAGATAAATAAAATAGGAAAAATAATGAAATAGTGGAGAACTGAGAAAGAAAAATAGAAGGAAGGAAGGAAGGAAGGAAGGAAGGAAGGAAGGAAGGAAGGAAGGAAGGAAGGAAGGAAGGAAGGAAGAGTAGGGAGGGAGAGTAGAAAGGAAGGAAGGAAGGAAGGAAGGAAGGAAGGAAGGAAGGAAGAGTAGGGAGGAGAGTAGAAAGGAAGGAAGGAAGGAAGGAAGGAAGGAAGGAAGGAAGGAAGGAAGGAAGGAAGGAAGGAAGAAGAGGGAGGAGAGAGGGAAAAGGAAGGAAGGAAGGAAGGAAGAGTAGGGAGGGAGAGTAGAAAGGAAGGAAGGAAGGAAGGAAGGAAGGAATGAGTCTACCGATTGAATAGAATTTTATTATAAACAATTGTCTTGTAAATGGAATTTTTAAAGCATTCTGAATGTAAAAATAAAGAAAAAAGTGTGCAAGACAATAAGAAACACTACCTGCCAAAAAAGTTTTGTTGAAATCGGTTGAAAAATGTAGGAAATCCGATCCCATATATAAACGAACACACACACACAAACAACCTGAGTTTTTATAATAAGTATAACTCGATATGAGTTGTCCCCCTTTCATTCTCGCGATGCCTCTTAATCGTGTTTTCAAATTGATCTCATGCAAAAACAATTGTGTTTTTCCAATTTTTGGCGCTGTCAGAACCACCGCAAGGTAATTTTACGTAGTCCTGTGAAGTTTTGTTGAAATCAGTTGAAAAATGTAGGAAATCCGGTCCAATATATAAACGTGTACACACACACACACAATCTGCGTTTTATAATGAGTAAGATGATCAATGTACATTCCAAAATAAAAACTATGATAACATGCTATTTTCAAGATAGGCAGGTCCTCTGGTGACAATCTTCTTTGCCTATTTTACCCTAGTCTGGCCATGTGTCGTATACATCTATGTTTCGTAAATCCCAAGAATCTAACAAGACAAAAAAAGAACGTGTATTTTTCTGAATAAAGACAATTAAATCGAAAGCTAAACAGGCGAAAATAAAGAAACACTGTGGCTGGCCTTGTATTTCCCAAAAGCGCCAATTGTTCGTATCAGATCCCAGGTAAAATCCAAAATCGTTTGCTGATTTTTAAGGTAAGTAAACACAACGGAGTAATGGATAGCGGCTCGGATTGAGGAGTCGGAGAGCCGAGTTCGAATTCCAGTCGAATTCATTGGGAAAGGTATGAATCCTCTTCTTTTTCCCCCAGCTATGGGTAAATAGCAGGACAGACCGGGTCCTATAGCCTAGGATGGCAACCGGTTTACCACAAAAAGAAATAGCAACCTACTGCGGGAAAAAAAAATCTGCCTCGTCAGTCATGTATTAAAAGATACATGATCGCGTAAGTGTGTATCAAGTATGACACGTAACTGAATAGGAGGCACGGATTGAGGAATCGGAGAGCCGAGTTCGAATTCCAGTCAAATCTATTACATTCACTTGCCCTTGGTAAAGGTATGAATCCTCTTCTTCCACCCCCACCCCCAGCCATGGCTAAATAGCAGGACAGACCGGGTTCTATAGCCTTGAATGGCAATTAGTCTACCGCAGAAAGAAATGGCAACCTACTGCGGAAAAAAATCTGTCTTATCAGTCCTGTATCGAAAGATACATGATCGCCTAAGCGTGTATCACGCATGGCACTTCACTGTCTGAAACATCAGCTGCAATGGATGGTTGTTAGCAAAAAGATGAGACCAAAGTGCGAATTTCAAACCGGAGATATCAAAATCAAACAAGCAGAAAAATTCTAAATATCTAGGAAGTGTTTTAACAGGGGACAGTAAGTGTGACACCGAAATCCGAAGGCATATTGGGATAGCCAAAGATGTTTATGACATATCAACCTCAATGGGTTATTTAATTCCGACAAAACTTTTATTGTTGGTAACATTTTTTTTGCAAAAATCTATTTCTGGTAATATTTTTTCTTTCAAAAAAGCTATTTTTGGCAATATTTTATTCTACAACAAATCTATTTCTGATAAAATATTTTTCTTCAAAAATCTATTTCTGGTAATAATTTTCTTTCAAATATGTATTACTGGTAATATTTTTTTCTTTTCTTTATTTCAAAAAAATGTTTAGCTGGTTTTTTAGGGGTTTTTTAAATCCAAAAATGTATTGCTGATAATATTTGTTTTTGAAAAATGTATTACTGGTAATAATTTTTTACAAAGTATTTCTGATATTAAAACCTATTTTTACACTTTGACCCCAGTTTGGGAGTTAACTATTTGCCTATAGTTGGGATCTTAACAGTTGCTACCACCCCGGGTCAAGGTGAACTTGGGAACACCAAAAATTAGTAGGTGATTCCACGCTCCTCAAAACCTCCTGATCAGATGCCTTGCTGTTGGATGTAGTTTATCGTCATACCCAGGACAGGAGAGTCTGGGAGTTACAATCAATGAAAATATGATGAAAAACTAATAGTAAAAAAATTACTAATAATAATAACAAAACAGAACTACTTTATGTAAGACACTTATAGGTATATGTGTTAATAAATTCCTGACTTATGTTCATGAAATGTATCTATATGCACTTATAGATATTTAATGAGCTTAGCTTATTCAAGTACAATATGTGTGAATATATCCTTTGGCATCTATGTATTCCATACATACGATTGTATTGCTGGTTTCTTCGTAATATAGGTGATAAAAATCCATTCGTTCTGCACTTTTGCACACAGTAGGATATTTATTTTGGAGAACCACAGCTGTCCTCGCAGAAGGGTGATGCCAGGCATGGCCGATTGTGTTGTCGTATTTGAAACTTGTCTATTCTGGAAGTGCTATTATTCAGAAATTCCCACCGCCAACGTAATTCTAATTCGCTTATCCATTTATCGATCTATATACCTATCCAGTAAATCACTACTGAATTGTTTCCGACATTGTCCAAGTAACTATTCGACATTCAGGATCTACAATAAGAACGACCTTGAATAAAGCCACCCTTCTAGAGTCAGTGTATTTTTGTATAATCTGCTGAATTAACTGCCGAAAAGGCAGCAGAAATAAAGATATTTGGGGAGAAAATAGAAAAATATACACGAAGAGGAATGCCTAATCATAGCAAAAGGCTGGATTTATTCCATTCAGTTTTTAGTGAAGCCTATAGACAGAAAAGGAATATTCGAATGGAACAAATGCTTGGAGTTGGTGCGAAGTGAGAATTGCCTTCAACTTCACAGCTCTTGAGAGTTTTTGTACTCACCAAACCAAGGAATATCGAGCCAGTCGAATCTCAGCATCAATACTCCTTATTGTTTGTCTTTGATGAGACGCAGACAGATTGATGGTAACGTAAAAAAAATGGAAAAAAGGCGATTATAAAAGAAATGAATAGAGGGAAAACTTGGACAAACAAAATAATCAAAAAATAAAGGAAGAATTGAAAGCGAATTAAAACAGATGAAACGGTGACAAATCAAAGCCATAGAAAGGAAGATCGGTAGAAAGGAAGGAACAATGAAATTGATAAAGTGAACAGGATTAATAAATTGATACATAAAGGATAAATTCCATTGATACGAAAGTCTAATTGATTGGGAGATATACCAATGGATGTCAACATTTGAACAAAATAGTCTAGAGAGAGAGAAAGAGAGAGAGAGAGAGATGAACAGATAGATAGATAGATAGATAAGAACAGACATATATGAACAGACTCAGATATATATATATATAGATAGATAGATAGATAGATAGATAGATAGATAGATAGATAGATAAGAACAGACATATATGAACAGACTCAGATAGATAGATAGATAGATAGATAGATAGATAGATAGATAGATAGATAGATAAAAAAAAGACTTAGATATATATGTACAGATTCATATATATATATATATATATATATGAACAGACTCAGATATATATATATATATATATATATATATATATATATAGTGTATTTTATTTTCAGCATCATCACTTGATAGATAGATAGATAGATAGATAGATAGATAAAAAAGACTTAAATATATATGTACAGATTCATATATATATATATAGAGAGAGAGAGAGAGAGAGAAAGAGAGAGAGAGAAAGATAGATAGATATGAACAGATCGATATATATGAACAGACTCATATATATATATATATATATATATGTGTGTGTGTGTGTGTGTGTGTGTGTGTGTGTGTATTTAGGCAGCAATCCTTGTTTCATGCACATTTCATTAAAAACGAAAAACAAGGTGCTTTTATTTAAGTTTTATACAATTTCTCATGCAATCTAATTTTTTTTTCTTTACTCATGATAAATTATATAAAAACTGTCCGAATGTTCTTTTTATCCGAGCTCTTTCGGCTATACATTTAGCCATTTTCAAGGATGAAATATTTTAACTGTTAAAATTAGAAATAGTTTCTTGTATGTATGTTTTATAAATGTTTTCCTTTTTTGTTTCAAAACACGGTTAAGATATTATGTCCATGTTCATAGTTAATATTATTAAGTGTAGGTTTGTTTTTATTAATAAGGCTTCCATTATTTGGGGCTTTTTTTTTTTTTTGCATGTGGATGATGCTGTTATATTAGTGTTGTCAACAAGTATCTTACGAATAGGGTCCGGTAGGTTTCCATGAATATTTAAATGAGATCTAATTGAGCTATGGGCAGAAAGGTGTAGAGTGAGTCTGCGTGTCATACATGTTGTAGTGTGGCCTATATAATTATTTACGAATTTTGATTGTTGAGGAATACAGTTCCTTAATGAGCATTTGAATTCGTAAATAATATTTGCCCTATTTAATTTTGTTCTAAGAGGTGAATTATTATTTTTAACTATAAGGTTAGAGGTTTTAAATTTTTTCTAATAAATAATTAATCGAATTTTTTTGCTATTGTCAACTGGTGTTATGCATTTTTTGTATAATGTTCTTAATTCTGCATTCATCCTGTTTATAATTTTCGTTCATCTGATTTTTATAAAAGATATTAATCTTATTGTTTATGTTTCTATTCTCGCCGTTGCTATTAGTTACCTTAGACAAGAAACGCCTAATGATTAGGAAATCCGTTATTAATCAGCGTTTGCTTTACATTTTTTAATTCTTTAAAGAAAAGCGAGCGAGAGTATGAATTCTCGTGCGCTCTCGTGAGGAAATTTTTAATAACACCTATTTTATATCTAAGAGGGCATTTACTAGAGAAATTAAGATGGCAAGAGTCTTTACTATTTTTATGAACAGAAGTTTTAACAGTATTATTACTAAAATCGACGAGAACATCTAAGAAAGGAAGTTTTTTTTTTCACTAAGTTCATAAGTAAAATTTAGAACGGAATTTTGTTGAAATGTAGCTTTCAGATTTTTCTATTTCTTTGTTTTCAGCTAAAATAAATATGTCGTCTACATAACGAACATATATTTCAGGTTTAATAACTTTAGTAAAAACCTTTTCAACATCGGATATATAATAATTGGAGAAGCACGGCCTGAGAGGGTTTCCCATACTTACTCCATCAGTTTGTGTGTAAATAGTACCATTCTGGCTATAAAAAGGAACTCTAGTGGTGCAAGTAAGCAATAGTTTTCTTAAAATATTGGGTTAGATTGATGGAGGTGGAATTAAATTATTTTTATACACCGAATTAATAATATCAATAGTTTCGGAGACGGGAACGTTAGTAAATAAATTCTCTACGTCAAGTGACGCAAGAATGCCGTGGTTTGTTTTTACATTTGTGCTTTTAAGTATTTCAAGGAATTCATGGGTAGATTTAATGCTATATTTAGTAGGGAGATATGGGGTAATAATATCATTGAGAAATGTTGATAGTTGACATATGCATGTTGGAATCTGAGAAATAATAGGTCATAATGGGTATCCCGATTTGTGTATTTTAACATTACCGTATAAGTAGCCAAGTTGGTAATCTCCAATAATTTTGTTTATTTTTAGGGATCCTGCAACAGCATTGTTGGATGTTATGAGTTTATTAGCATATTTCTTTAGATATTCAGCAGTGTTCTGATTCAATTTAGTAAAATTAGAACGTTCATCAATGAGATGCTGAAGAACATTCCGACAGTTTTTTATATAATTTATCATCCGAAAAGAAAAAAAATTATTAAATCGCATGAGAAATTGTATAAAAAAAACTAAATAAAAGCACCTTGTCTTTCGTTTTTAATGAAATGTGCATATATATATATATATATATATATGAATAAAAATGACAATAGGAAAACTGGTAATTGCTGACGCGTTTCGTCCAATGTGATAAAGTCCACATTGGACGAAACGCGTCAGCAATACCAGTTTTCCTATTGTCATTTTTATTCATAATATTGTCTTCTACCGATTAAATCGGAGAAATTTTCATATATATATATATATATATATATATATATATATATATATATATATATTTTTTTTTTCTTTTCTCTTGAAGAAGGGTTAATAACCTATGCTTTCTCTTGACTTTCTTTCCTTTTCTTTTTTTTTTCCTTTTCCTTTCCTCTTCCTTTTTTTTTTTTTTTTTTATTGATTTCTTATCGTCTTTCCTTTTTCTTTAAATAAATCCTTTTCACCTTTTATGGGAAATTCTCCAAAAACGAAAAGTGAAGAAGTGTTTCATTAATCGCAATTTTGAATAAAATCGTTCAGTACCATCATTGTTAGCCACCTAAAGAAACGTTTGATTTTATCGTTGTAACAAAATGTACAATTTTGTAGTGGATATTTACATGTTCTAATGTTACAGTATATAATAAATATTTATTGCTCTACTTTTGTATTGAACCCTGTTTTAAATTAATGTTTTGAACGTTGTAATTTTATTCTTCGTCCTTTTACATTTGAATATATATATATATATATATATATATATATATATATATATATATATATATATATATATATATATTAATTATTTATTTAAAAATATGATTCCAACACGCTACATATATATATATATAGAGAGAGAGAGAGAGATAGAGAGAGAAAGAGAGATAGATAGATAGATAGATAGATAGATAGATAGATAGATAGATAGATAGATAGATACTGAAGAGAATGAGATAGATAGATAGATAGATAGATAGATAGATAGATAGATAGATAGATAGATAGATAGATAGATAGATACTCCGAGGGCTTACAAGCCAGATCACGTTAAAACGCCGGTTTTTGTACAATCGCCGAAGTTAAGTCACATCGAACCTGGTTAGTACCCAGATGGGTGACCGCTTGGGAATACCAGTTGCTGTAAAGTTGGGTTTGCGGGTGATGTAATCGGGTTGGTTACATTCAGTTACGCGCAAATACCAGTTATGGCGGGTGCGAAGGTTAGACATTGCCGAAATTTCTAAGGCGTAACATGAGGAAAGAAAGTTTAGAAAATTTGACACTTGCAGAACATACTGGAGACAAGATGAACAAACGAAAACAACTACTGTAAATATTTACAAAAGTTCATTTAAGTAGATTATTATGTTTTAAAAAATTCCTCTGTTATAACTGCTATTATTTTCTGAAGTCTTTTACATATTGTCTATTCATTACATGATTAGGTCTTATTTCAATTCTCATTTTTAGTAAAACGATGATCCCGAAATGCGATTTTGCAGGTTGGGAACACTAGAATCAAACAGACTCAGAAGTTTAGATATCTGAGAAGCGTTCTGACAGAGGACGGTAAATGCGATGCTGAGATCCGTAGGCGTATTGGGATGGCCAAGGGCGTATTCCAAAAGCTGGGTAGAGTATTGCAAGACAGGAGGATTTCTTTGGTGACGAAGAAAAGAATACTGAGCTGTTACATGACATCTGTCCTCTTGTACGGCAGCGAATGTTTCACGGTCTCTTCAAAGATGAAGAAGAGACTCGAGGCGACAGAGATGTGGTTCTACAGAAGGATGCTAAGGATATCATGGACCGAGCATGTGAGCAACGACGAGGTCTTAGAGAGGATGCAAACAAGGAAGAGGCTTAACACGTAACATCAGGAAGAGGTAGCTAAAGTTTCTGGAACACATTATGAGGAAGGAGGGCATGGAGAATCTGATACTCACGGGTCGAATAGAAAGAAAGAATGACAACGTATGACATACCTGGCAGCCTTAAGCAAGTGGATGACAGAAGGTGGTCTGGGTGGGTAGAGGAAAGGAACTTGTTGTGAGCTGCAAGGAATAGAGGGAGTTGGAGAGATATGATTGTCTACGTGCTGAAAGGACACGGCACATAGAAAGAAAAGACGCAATTCTTGTATGTGTTGTTCTAATCTCATCTCCCATCCTGTGTTTGCTTCTTTGTACTGTTTCTTAATGCGAAGCATCAAACTTTTCGGTCAATCTGTTCTTCCGCGTATATTAACTGGTTCATTTCGATGATACTCTCACTTTTTACATGTTGCAATAGTTTATTATTGTCAGTACTCTGTATGTTTGCAGGCACGTGCTCAATTCCCGACAACACACTGTATCAAATCTTTCTTCTAATTGATATAGTAGATTGTTATTGATATGATAATACCGTCTACGTAAGACTTTTGACAAAGGCTTTTAATGTTGCAAGTCATTTTAGTTTCATTGCAATATCCTTTGAAAACATTTGCATATTTCTGAACGCTGACTATATGAAATAATGGCATTACAACAAAAAAATGCTTGGTAATAATATTGACTGTTTTCTTTTGTTCATTAAATTTGTTTTTTCTTTTACATTTTACATTTTAAATGTTCATCTTTATTCCAAAGATTATACAACAATTTCGTTTAAAGATTTCGAGAAAGAAATGCATTTTTGGCAAATCAACGACTGGATATAAAAAAAGAAATAGCGATTCAAAAGAAAGACGAAAAGAGGGGAAGACTGAATAGTAAAGTAGCTGATAAAAATTTAAACAGAACGAAAGGGGGAAACTAATGAAGAGAGAGGAAAAAAAGAAAGAATAAAGGTAACTATGGCAATAGAAAGAGGAGATGAAAACAAATCTCACTTTTTCCTTTATACAAGAGAGAAGGTGAAAAGAAAGAAAGAAAGAAAGAAAGAAAGAAAGAAAGAAAGAAAGAAAGTTTAAATTTAGATGGAGTCGACACGTAGATAATGATTGCATCTCGTACAGGGCACAACTGAGTGTAGGAAGAAGAAAATCAAAGCTGAATAAGAAAGAAAAAAACTCTTTCAGTGTTATCAGACGAAAGAAAATAATAAAATCTCTTTCAGCATTGTGGAAAGAAAGAAAGAAAGAAAGAAAGAAAGAAAGAAAGAAAGAAAGAAAGAAAGAAAGAAAGAAAGAAAAGAAAAACTCTTTCAATATTATGGGACGAAATAAAAAAAGAAAAAAGAAAGAAAATAATAAAAACTCTTTCAGTATTATTGAACGAGAGAAAGAAGAAAGAAAAGAAAAAAGAAAGAAAATAACAAAAACTCTTTCAGTATTCTGGAACAAAAGAAAGAAAAAAGAAAGAAAATAAAAACTCTTTCAGTATTATTGGACAAAACAATTAAAAAGTAAATGTTCGCTATTCTACTGCAAAAGAAAACGAATTAAGTACAATAGTAAGAGAAGGACATTTTCTCTCTGAAAAGAGGAAAGGTAAAAATAGAAAGAGAAGGACATTTTCTCTCTGAAAAAGGGGGAAAGTAAAAAAAGAAAGAAAAACAAAGTAGAATATGAAAAAAGAAAGGAAGAGTAAAATGATAGAAAGTTCAAAAGAAAAATGTTGTAGAAAGAAAGAATGAAAAAAAAAAAGAATTATCCCAATTATCTCGAAATCAAAAAGAAAAGAAAAATGTATCGAATACGAAAGAAAAAGTTGTATATCGCACCAGTATTTCGAGCTTTGGATTTTGAAATATATTTTTCAGGGTAGGCAGTTTCGAATTGAAATAATGGCGCGTCATAATCTTTCTTCTTAAATTCAACTCATTTGGCTGACCTTAATTGATATCAAGAGATCGAGTAAAAAATAGAGAGGGAAAAACAAAGCATAAAAAGATACGTAAAGATCGAAAGAAAACGAGAGGAAGTGAAAAAGAGGCTTGGCCTATTTTTTATATTCTCTATACAAATTAAAATTAGCTATGTACCCTTTGTTTTGGAAACAATAGCAGATTGAATATTTAAATTGAAAGCAAAAAAAAAATACATACAATTTTTGTAATTTTGTTTTTATGTCATATAATCTATTTATTTTTTATTTATTTTTTTTTTGGTGGAAAAAAAGCATTTGAAAAAATTTGAAGTATTTCGTATAATTGAAGAATTCAGGAATTAGAGAAAAATTCTTTTCTATAGATATTCTAATAACTTTTTGTAAATAGAAAAAAATGATACAAGGTCGTTTTCACTTTGTCTGCAAAACCTGTAAAATAATATGTAATAATCTATTTTTTGTCAAATATGGAATCAAAACGGTTACTATATCCATTGTCAGCTACGATGATGGAGTTTGTGTTTATAAGATAAACATGTTTTTGCTTTTTGCGGATAGTTGTTTTTTTTTTTTAGAGTGAGTGTCGAAAAGCATACGGGCGAGTTTCCCAGCACGAATGTTGGATAACCAGAATGTTCGTTCCGTTTATTGAATAAAAATAAATAAAATAAATATAATAAAGTATATCTAATACAAGTCTCGAAAGTCCTTCAAGGTGAGGATTACTGTTAAGATGGTTATAATGAATTAACGGTGATAGTAGTGGTGATTATAGAGATAAGGAGGGCCTTTTGTCCCATTATCTTCTGTCGTCTTTCAGACAACTTCATATTACTATCATCTCGGTTTTAGGATTTTTTTTATCAAAGTAATGGTCTAGGACTTTTGAAGATTTCCAAGAAATTTGTAAATACAGGAATTATCCAAATTTTCAGTATATGGCGAATCTCGAAATATTATCTATCTATCTATCTATCTATCTATCTATCTATCTATCTATCTATCTATCTATCTATCTATCTAATTCTTTTCAGTATCTATCTATCTATCTCAGTATCTATCTAATTCTCTTCAGTATCTATCTATCTATTTTTCTATCTATCTATCTCATTCTCTTCAGTATCTATCTATCTATCTATCTATCTATCTAATTATCTTCACTACTATCTATTTATCTATATTATTCCGACCAGTATGATCTGCATCATTCTCTTTACTATCTATCTATCTATCTATCTATCTATCTATGTCATTCTCTTCAGTATCTATCTATCTATCTATCTATCTATCTATCTCATTTTCTTCAGTATCTATCTATCTATCTATCTATCTATCTATCTATCTATCTATCTATCTATCTATCTATCTATCTCATTCTCTTCAGTATCTATCTATCTATCTATCTATCTATCTATCTCATTTTCTTCAGTATCTATCTACCCATCTTATTCTCTTCAGTATCTATCTCATTCTCTTGTGTCTATCTATCTATCTATCTATCTATCTATCTATCTATCCCATCTATCTATCTATCTATCTATCTATCTCTATCTCTTCATTCATCCATCCATCTATCTATCTATCTATCTCCATCTATCTATCTATCATTCATCTATCTATCTCATTCATCTTCCCATCTCTATCTATCTATCTATCTATCTATCTATCTATCTATCATTCTCTTCAGTATCTATCTCCATCTATCTATCTATCTATCTCATCTCTTCAGTATCTATCTATCTATCTATCTATTCTCTTCATCTATCTATCTATCTCATTCTCTATCATTATCTATCTATCTATCTATCTATCTATCTATCATCATTCTCTTCTCATTCTCTCTATCTATCTATTCATCTATCTATCTATCTATCTATCTATCTCATTCTCTTCAGTATCTATCTATCTATCTATCTATCTATCTCTATCTATCTCATTCTCTTCAGTATCTATCTATCTATCTATCTATCTATCTATCTATCTATCTATCTATCTCATTCTCTTCAGTATCTATCTATCTATCTATCTATCTATCTATCTATCTTGTATTCATTATTTATCTTCTGTCTATCTATCTTGTTCTCTTCGGTATCCATCTATATATATATATATATATATATATATATAGCTTCAGATATAGCCTAATAACACTGCTTTCTGATTATCGCCAAGCAACTCCATTACATCAAGAAATGCCATGACGAACCAAACATGTACCATGACGAGATTCTTTTTTAAAGAATTAAACTACTGGTTTTGTGACATACTTATATCAATTAATACTTAAGAAAGACAAACGTTGAATGGAAAGAAAGAAAGAAAGAAAGAAAGAAAGAAAGAAAGAAAGAAAGAAAGAAAGAAAAACACTGAATAGAAGGAAAGAAAGAAAGAAAGAAAGAAAGAAAAGGACTGAATAGAAAGAAAGAAAGAAAGAAAGAAAGAAAGAAAGAAAGAAAGAAAGAAAGAAAGAAAGAAAGAAAGAAAGAAAGAAAGACAAACACTGAATAGAAAGAAAGAAAGAAAAACATTGAATAGAAAGAAAGAAAGAGAGAAAGAAAGGCAAGCGTTGAATGCAAAGAAAGAAAGAAAGAAAGAAAGAAAGAAAGAAAGAAAGACAAACACTGAATAGAAAGAAAGAAAGAAAAACACTGAATAGAAAGAAAGAAAGAAAAACATTGAATAGAAAGAAAGAAAGAGAGAAAGAAAGGCAAGCGTTGAATGCAAAGAAAGAAAGAAAGAAAGAAAGGCAAGCGTTGAATGGAAAGAAAGAAAGAAAGAAAGAAAGAAAGAAAGAAAGAAAGAAAGAAAGAAAGAAAGAAAGAAAGGAAAATTGTTAAGACTGTAAAAAGATGGAAAGAAAGAACCTATTTCGGAAGGTTAAGAACTGAAATCTCGATACGGAACAGATTGAGAATTATGTTGTTCTGGGGTGGAATTGGTTGAAATTTGAATTGCTAACGCGAAACAGATTGAAAAGGAGAGACTAGCGCCAGGAGGCATGAGTGCCAAAAGCAAGAAATGTAGCAGGGTGAACGGAAAAATAGCGGGTGGCGAAATTACCACAAAACATCTCTCACCCTGAACAAATTTTGAAGAGATCTGGCCCACTGACAGGCAACTCAGACTTGTTATCCGTTCTAATATTAAAAATAAACACAAAAAAAGTCAGATGCGAGAATGGGAAGTTATGGCGATAAAATAACCTTCACAAATTGGCTTCATAGATATTCTTGGCAAGAAAGTGTAAAGGATAAAGTAGACCTCGATTGATCATACGATTGACGGATAGAAGGAGGAATGCATAGATAGATAGATAGATAGATAGATAGATAGATAGATAGATAGATAGATAGATAGATGTTGAAAAGACCCAGATAGATAGATAGATAGATAGATAGATAGATAGATAGATAGATGAGAAACTATGATAGCAAAATAGACAGCGAGATAGATGATAAACAATGATACATGAGAAAGAATGATTAATAGGTAAATGAGATAAATATGATAGATATATATGATAGATTAATTACATAGATATAATTATATATATATATATATATATATATATATATATATATATAATGGTAGATTAGATATCTACCACTACCTGAAATTTGTTTGTGCTTCCGGTGTCTCGGCTATGTTTGCCGCTTACGTGTGGAAGTCATGTTCGTATCCTGCTCGTCGTAATCCCGTATTCGACTCTTTTCGTGTTTGTTTCCGGTGCTGCTAATTTTCCCGTCCCTCCTGAAATGAGGAAAGCCTATTCATTGCAGATATCCAAACAATAGGATGAAAAATCATTAATTACCACCTTCCTGGCGTCCTCGAATATCCCAACAAAGACCACCAAAAGTTAGAATTTTATATCTGTCTGATAAGTCGCAGCCTTATTAGGCCTCATAAAATGTCAGGTAATTTCAATAAAAGTAAAATGCTGAAGTTGCCATTTACCGCTCTGGCAATACAATTACTATTGGTTTTGTGACATACTTATATCAATTAATACTTAAGAAAGAAAGAAAGAAAGAAAGAAAGAAAGAAAGAAAGAAAGAAAGAAAGAAAGAAAGAAAGAAAAACATTAAATAGAAAGAAAAGAAAAGAAAGAAAGAAAGAAAGAAAGAAAGAAAGAAAGAAAGAAAGGAAAATTGTTAAGACTGTTAAAAGATGGAAAGAAAGAACCTATTTCGAAAGGTTAAGAACTGAAATCTCGATACGGAACAGATTGAGGATTTCTGACACATAAAAGATATTAAAGTTGAAATTAATGATATCTTAAATAGAATGAAAAGAGTAAAAACGAGCACTTAATGATAATAGTTGACTTGAATGCGTTTTTCCCGTTCGCCCACTTTTTACGATTAGTTCAATTTATAAATCAAAAACCGTATCTGCAAATGAGGTCATGGCAAAAAAAAAATAGTGCGGAAACAAGAAAGAAAAAAAGTAGCAAGTTTTAATTTCCCCGACAATGAAAAAATTAAAACCACCTGAAAAAGGCCGAAGCGTACAACTGCCGAAACGTTGTGATAAATATGGCAACAACGATGAGGACAATAGTCCGAAAAATGCAAATTAACTTCGTTGTTTTTTCTTTAAACCTCAAGACCAAAGCAGCCTTTGGGACAAGGTGGTCTGAGGTCGAGAAAATTTATTATAATACATTTGATATAATGGCCCC